CATTGGAAGACGGTTTTATAATGTCATGGGGCTCACAGTTCACACTTGAGAGACAAAGATGCAACTCTCGCCACAAAAATATGCAATCAAATCTTCCCATGGTCGAAAGTGCGAGCACTGGTTTCTGGAAGATTGATTTCGCTTGATAAATGTCCTGGTGTGCGACCTATTGGCATAGGCGAATTTCTACGGAGAATAATTTGCAAAAGTGTGGCTGAGTTCACAAAAATTGACCTTGAAGAAACATGTTCGACTGATCATTTAGCTTGTGGGCTGAAAGCTGGCGTTGAAGGTGCAAGTCAGGCGCTTTCTGATGTTTTTGATGACATAAAGGAAGATGGCTGTCACAAGCTGTTGATGGATGCATCAAATGCTTTCAACTCGCTCAATCGTGAAACAGCGTTGTGGAATGCTCGAATATTGTGGCCTAGATGTTCTAGATTTCTCTTCAATGCTTACAGAGGCTTCGCGTCAATTTTGGTTGCTGGCGCCGATGAAGTGATATACAGTAGGGAAGGAACCACACAGGGAGACCCACTGGCAAGGTTCTTCTATGGTGTTTCACTTCTTCCCCCGATTATAACAAAGTGTGTTACAAAGTTGGTATGCTTATGATTCTGCGGCCATAGCAAAACTGAAGAAATTGGAGATATGGCTCAAAAACATGATTGAGGAAGGTCCCGCCTTCGGTTACTTTCCAGAGCCTTCCATAAGTTTTCTGGTTGTCGATAAATATTATGCTGAAGAAGCGCATTACATATTTGACAAGTACTCGATTACTATAGTGGAAGCGAAGAGGTTTTTGGGCGGTTTCATTGGAGACGGAAATGAGAAGGACATCTACCTGAAAACGAAAGAGTTTGAATGGGTAGACAAAATTGAGAAACTTTCTTTTGTGGCAAAAACAGAACCACAATGTGCTTTATCAGGACTGACTTAGTCCCTTCAAGCGGAATGTTATGTTTGCCATCGTGTTTTGGGTGGTTCTAGTCAGCTTTTTCAACCGCTAGAGAACCTTCCGATGGAGAAATTCTTACCTGCGATACTTGGAACTTCGTCGATTTCATCAATGGAGAGACGTCTCTTTTGTTTGCCAGCAAGAAAGGGTGGTCTTGGAGTGTCTAACCCAACCAGTTTGATGAGTCTTACAACACGTCACGGGAAGCAGTTACGGTTCTTTATGATGCGCTTGTTGATCAGCACGGTTTTTCCCATGAACACCACAGAAAGCAAATGTCTCGATCGCTGAAAAAACATCATCGAATTATGGAAGAAAAACATGAAGTTGTTGGGGGAGTTATTGAATGAGCTACCAGCAGACCAAGTTCGCGCAGTAAAAAGAATCAATGAAGGAAGCTTGTCTTCCTGGCTGACAGCGTTACCGATTGCTGCAGAAAACTTTGATCTTTCGGAACTGGAGTTTCGGGATGCATTGAGTGTCCGGTATAACAAAAACTTGATCGCTTCGCCAACTTTTTGTGATGGTTGCCAGTCACAATTCACCCTACGGCGTGCGTTCGCGTGCAAAAAAGGTGGTCTCTTAACTTTACGGCACAATGAGACGCTGTAGGCGAATGAGACGCTGTAGGGATGCTGTAGGCGAATTAGCTTCTTGAGTGTGGAAGGATGTACAGAGAGAGCCTGTTATTAGAGAATACAACCCGCAAGATGAGACACCCGCATTCGCATTAATTGCAGATGTTTTGTCGTCGAGTTTATGTTAGACAGGGAGGAGCGTCTTTTGATTTCGTGTCTCTGACACCAACGCCATCTCCTATCAGAACAGAAGCCCCATGAGTGTTTTGCACTCAGCAGAGGTTGAGAAAAAGAAAAAAATTCAGACGCGTGTCAGGAAAGACATGTCTTTCACTCCTCTTGTCGTGTCTGTTGATGGGATGCTTGCTCCAGAAATTGCAAGTTTCCTTCGGAGAAGAGGAGAAGCATTATCTCCCAAGTGAGAGAAACCCTATAGTAAAACTATGAACTGGGTGAAGTGCCGGCTGTCTTTTGCCGTGCTCTGTGCTTCCAGTGTGTGCTTTTGAGGCACAAGGACCAAGTGGAGGAGTCTTGGCTCAGACCAGGACTTCTTACCCTAGAGAAATATTTACGGATGTTCTACAATGAAGAGAAACTGGCTAGCTATGTGCAGACTCTGCTAGTAATGTAAAACGTGGACCTACACAAAACAAAATGTTTAACAAATGAACCAAATAGATCATTGACTGCTTTAAAAAAATTTAAAAACCGGTCAACAATCAAAATTGATTGTTCAGTGGGCCACTACCTTTTGTGTTTAAAGTTTTTTTGGCGTAGCTGTTAACGAAAATCAGCTCCACAGATTCTTTTCTTTGGCTTTAAACCTAAGCCTAAGATTTGCGAAGCTAGTTTTTGATAAAATAAAATGTTGCAAAAAACCAATTTTTTTTTACTATTTTTGGTGCAATAATTTCTGGTTTTAAAAAAAATTAGCCGTGCAGTTGACTCAAAGAAACTTCCTATAACTCGTAATTTATTGAAAAAAGTGAAAAACAAAATTCCAGGACGTCTCACAAAAAAAAGGAAAAATGTTAACCCAATCCCATACATTTCTATAAATTTTCCTTTTATTACACAGAAAAATTTAGACATACCTGCCCATCAAAAGATTTGAATTTTTAATAAATAACTGAATCATTTCACAAAGAGCAAACAAAGCCGACAATTTTAGAGCAGAGACTAGTTGAGATTTCAGTTTTAAATCCCCTGAAACTTGTGAACATTTGCAATTATTCTTGCTTGCCAAAAAATCAGTGTTGTGTGACCTAAGCCGACAAAACTTGAGCAGACAAACAAGAGAGCGATGCTTTAACTTCTACCACAATTTTTTTTCCAATTTCATACCAACTGAAAACACAATGTCCAGCCCGGACTTGAGCCTTAAACCTAAAGGCTTGAAAGAGTCCGAATTATCTCAATGCTGAATAAAAATCACCTGGACGTTAGTCAGGTTCAAAAAAAAGCAAATTTTGTTTTCGGTGAAGGCTTGACTAACGGAAAAAAGTTGAGATCACAATTGAAAGCCACCCGCTCTCGCGGGTGTGCGTATCGATTTTTAAGATAGCATGCAAAACCATCCAAAAACTATTACTCTACGAAATACGATGTAGTAGGTAATTTATATTCTAATTTACGAAAAAAAGAATTAATGACTAAAACTAAACGCAAGCATACTTTTCTCGAAAAAATTAATCAGGTTTTCACATGTAAAAAATGAACATTTTAAACTGCCACTTCTTGGAAACTGGTCGTTTCGTACACATTTTCATAGAAAAATTGTTTTAGAAAAAAGTGTAATTCCTGGTTACGAGTTGTGCAAATGCAAATGAACTAGATTTAGAGCATGATCTGCATACTCAGTGCCCATTTTAGTTGTAATCTAAGCGTGTTGGGTAATTAAAAAGTGAACCTGAATTTTTTCAACGCAATCGCGATTTAGAGTTTTTTTTAATGCCGATGAATGCGAAAGTTCAGGCAACTCTTCTTGATACAATGTCGGGCATTTGACACGTTTGCTCGTATTATAACTTTATTATTGTTCCAATTATTGAAAAAGAGAAATTTTTTGTTCGCTGATTTTAGTTTTTTACAAGAAATTGGCTACCAAAAACACTCCTACATTGATTGTGCGATATATCATTTCAACGCCAAATTGAAGCTTTTTCAGTCGATCAATCCGATTTAAAGGTTTTTGATTTTTTGTCTATTTCAGAGCAAGTAAAGTGAGCAAGCGGACTTGTTTATGCTTAATTTAACTCAATTACAAAAACTTAAATCTTATTCCTTGTTTTACTCAACTAAAATTAGTTTTGGAAACTTTGAAAACCATTTTAAAAATCAGAATTATCAAAAAACTGCAAACATTTTTGTTTAATTTTCTAGTCATATTTTGTACAAAAATTGTTTTGCAAGTTGTCTATTATACTATGACTGCAATCTGCCCAGTTTCTAGCTTTTTCTGCACATGCTTTAATCACACCAACCAAAAAAAAATGTAAAAAAAAAAACGTTTAAAACTTTGAAGTCCCCCTAAAACTACCCTGTTTTAACTAGTTCCTACCCAGAATTTAATTTTGAATTTTCATGAAACTGAGCATTTCATGCAGCTGCCATGCTTACTTTCATGAAAATTCAAATTTGATTCCAACTGATTTTAATTTTGTTGTTAACCCGAAAAAATTCTGTATTCCTATTTGATAACGCTTGCTTATCGAAGCGTAAAAAATTTTAGACTGAAAAAAGAGAGCCACTCTTGCGATAATTCTTCACGTTGTTGGGAAAATGCCAAAAAATTCGAATCAAAATGTCTCGATGTCTAGCCATTATGTCACTGCAGTTGAACAGATCTGATATTTTCGATATCTATAGTAAATTTGAAACTTCAGAAATCATGATATCATAAATCCAGAATCTTAACGCTTTTTTTGAAATTTCCCTTTGGTCCCTAGGACAACTCATGATTTTTGCATCCCTAGCGCTGAATGTCCTTGAAATAATATTTAAGGCTTGGCTCATTCCCATTCGCCGCCTTCTTTCAAAAAAAGTGCCTATGATCGCAGTGCCCGGTTGAATTCCTCTGTTTGCATCCTCTCGTTTTAGGTTCTTTGTACACCTCGCTCAACATGAAAAGATAAAATAAGCCAGCTGGAAAGACAGTTGGAGAAGTGTTACTGAAATCAACGAACCGAAAAAAATGTTAAGCAAACTATAGGATCTAAAAGAACAAATTGCATTACTTAGTCGTTTATAATACAATCTTATTAAGTAACCTCAATTTTCGAAATAACTTATCAATAATTCTTTTACTTCCCTGGTTTTGTAAGAAATCATATTTTTATCTAATTAGGGCAGATTTTGATGTGAGATATCATTAGATGAAAATTGAAAACGACCACCAAAATCAAATGTCAAAAAATAATCAGAGCAGCAATTGAAAGACCTTAATATGTATTCACTTCCTTCAGTAACACTTAAATATACATTAAATTTAAATAGCGTCAAATATTCAAACCTATTTTCAAAAAATTTATACATATAATACGTTTAAGTTACAACCGGTTGATCTGATTCAAATAAAGATGTCGAGGGAAAGTTTGAACTGGGGATTTTAGACTTAACAGTCCATTCTGTTTGTTCATCACGAAAGGGGTTTGTAGTCTCCACTGGCCACCCCTTTTCCAATTCTAGTCAATTCGTCCGCACTTGATAGTCTAAAAGATCAATTACTCAAATATTTATTCTGACTGAATTTTACTTAAAATATCTTTTACGCCAAAATTCGCAACAGCAATTTAACTGAAACTGGTTACAACTGGAAACTGGTAAGGACATTTGGTTGGTTTAAGGACAGCATGTACTGCAGCTGCCATGTGCATCCACTACGATAGCTACAATTAGCGTGTTGTGGCGTTTACCAACTTACCTCCGTTTTGGGTGATGTAGCGTACCCATGGCAGTGCTTGGTAACCACTCTTCTCGATGATCTTCAGATAGCGCACTTGGATGCCGGAAGTGGTGAAGTAGGGGATCTCGAACTTCACGTGGATCGGGGGTCTGCCCTCGTCTTCATCCGCCTCCACACTGGGCAGATTGAAGTGGGCTCTCATAAGGAACTCTTTGCCGCCTGGGAAGCTCTTAATGTACCAGACTACAGTGCTGTCTTCGGGGATGTATTTGACTGAGCCGACTGACGTCTTGAACTTGGGCGAATCGGCGTCACTCGGCACTGGCACCACTATCTCAACGTGGTTCGCCGTGGACCGTCTCTTGAATTGTGACTTAGCTTTGATCATGTATTCCACTCTGCTGTGACTATGTCGCTCGATCACTGATTCAATCCAAATCAGAGGCTTCACCTAGCATACATCATTCTTTGTACATTTTAATCATTTTGATTTCAATAAGAAAACGTATTTTTATTTCGCTAGAGACGCAGTACTTTTATTTCACTCAATTTAGAAACAATCAAATATTCTATTTTATTTTCAAACAATTTTAAAAAAATTATTAGTAGTGATGCGCATAAGTAGTGATGCGAATAAGTAGTGATGCGAAAGGTAATACGTAATTTCGAAAGGTAATGCGTAATGTGCTTAGTAGAGAAGACACCCAAAATCGGGTTTCTCTATTAACAATTAACCTCAAGTTTAGTCAAGAAAACTTCCAAAACACGGTCAAAGCTTCACAACTTTCACTTGTAAAGCCATAACTGTTTTAACAAAACTTGTCGAAGCAACTTATAAAAGTAAGCTTCCAACAAGCTGTTGTGTCGATTAACCAAACATCAGATTTGGCAGGGCGTAGCCTCTTATGCAGAAGAGATTCGCCCAAACTGTTATTTCGATAAAACCCAAAAACCCACGTTTGGCAAGGTAGTTCTCGAGAAAGTCGAAAAGTTTCAAAAAGGCCATAACTGTTTTAACAAAACTTGTCGAAGCAAATTATAAAAGTACGCTTCCAACAAGCTGCTGTGTCGATTAACCCTATATCAGATTTGGCAGGGCGTAGCCTCTTATGCAGAAGAGATTCGCCCAACCTGTTATTTCGATAAAACCCAAAAACCCAGGTTTGGCGAGGTAGTTCTCGAGAAAGTCGAAAAGTTTCAAAAAACGATAGATAAAATCACTAACCATTATCTCCATTGAACCCACAATCTCAGGTTTGGGAGGGTAGTTTTCGAGAAAAGTCGAAAAGATTCAAAAAACGGTCAAAAAATTAAAAAATCAAAAGCGGGCCATAATTTGATGTGTAATGAAGTTTTGGCGTAGCCGCAGATAAATTTCAATAATGGGGTTTTATTCAAATCCGTTCTATTCGAAGAAACAAGAATTTCAGATTTGGTAGGTTAGTTTTTGAGAAACCGAAAGAAAAAAATATCGGTCAAATATTCCCCCACAGACTTGTTCGAAGGCTGTAGCAAAGGGGTAAAAGAAAAATATACCAGGGAAGTATGCAGGCACACAAGAGCGTAAGAAGTATTTGTATGAATACCCTATTTTTAAAGTGGTAGAATTTTCCAAAGCGTCTCAAAAAAAATTAAAAACCAATTCCATACAATTTCATAAAACTTTTCATAAAAGGAATTGCAGGCCAAGATGCCAAGCAAGACATTTGAAATTCAAATTAGTTACTAAACAAAAAATACGAAGAAGAAACAAGGCCGAAAATCTTTGAACAGACACCAGTTGAGCCGAAAAAAAAAACGTTTTTAAGTTGCAGGTCCCCCAGGAAACTACACTGTAGTGACTAGTGCCCAACCAATAGTTAATTTTAGTTTTTCATAAAATTGAGCATTTCAGCTGCATTGCATCATCAAAATCGCCCATATAAACAGTACTATTTGAACTTGAACTTGAATAAGTGATTAAATTGATTTTATTAAACTAGTTGTTAACCCGAGCGTAATTATCACGAAAATTGAAACAAAATTTCCAAAACGTATCAAAAAACACAGAGGCGAAGCCCCACTTCGCAAACACTTGCAAGAACACGACCAAAAAGCAGATCTACCAAGTTAAATAAGAAAAGTAGAAATAAGCCTTGAATTAGCAAATAGCCGTGCAGGATTCGAATCTGCGAACCTCTGCAATCAAGAGATTTTGAGTCTCACGCACTATCCCCTCAACCACGCAAGCTTAACAACCGACAACCACTAGTCACGAATAAAGATGCAACATATACTAATAAATTCCTTGCCAATGCAATTCAGCAAAAGTTGCACCAAATGCAAAGCGATTCAATTATGCAAGTAATAATTTGGAATATAACAAATTGAAGGCATCCACACTAACTTTGCATGCAACAAATCGCAAAGCATACAGCCACATTATGTATAAATTATGCATTTCAAAAAATTGCGAGATATATTGAGTTAGAAAAATTCGGAAATCGAGTTTTCATAAGTGTGATGTTGTTTGAAAGGAATAGCTTTTTTCGGTTCATTTGATGAACTAAAAATGCATCAACTGTGTTAATTTATTATTATTCGAATGCCAACGCTCATGCTATCAAAAAGCTGTAAAGATGGCCCAAAAGTGGCACTAATATTTGCTACTTAGGTTGGAAAAAAAGAAGGTTCGTACTAATCTAATACACTAGCTTCGCAAGAGTGATGAATAAAAAATGAAATCCCATGCATTTTCAAAAACATGATTTTATCAAACAGGAATTATACATTTATAAGCCAATTCCGATCATTCAAATCATGGAACTCCAAATCCAATGATTGAAGGTAAAGTCCCATATATAATAATTTCAAGCAATCTGCAGTCAAAAACATTTTTTCACTTATCAATTTGTGCTGGAAGCATAATTTCGAGGGCTATAATTTTAAAGGACAAACTTGTGTGTTAAGACGATATGACATGAGCTCAAATTCTCCGTCGGGTGGGACGAATGAGATGGTTCTGTCGTTGTCGAATCTGGACAGACGAACACATTGGTGGAATTTGACATCCTCCAGCTCCACAGCCTTGTTTCTCGCCCCTACAAACACAATTTTACTCCTTGCAACATATCTATTTTTTTTACAACAAACAGCCAATCGAAGATTGGAAAAAAGTAATGAAAGCACTTAAACAAAAAACACTGACTTTATTGAATAAATCTCGCCCTTTGAATTTCTCAAACGATTTATGATAGGCGCATTTTTGATAACCTTAACCCAAATCGCAAAAACTGGATCGCCAGGTAAAATTTTTATTCCGCTGGAAATTTAAAAAATTAAATTCCACTATCAAAACAACAAATAGTTCACGTTTTGTGAGCCATTTTCACGTTCGTATTTGGAGAATGCTATTTACGTCACTTTCAGAAGAACTCAAAAAATGCACATATACCTAAAACCTAAGTGCATTCATAAATGCATCAATGAATGCACATCTGCAGTTATTAGAGACTTTTATGCACATTTTAATATAGGTCGTTTTGTTATATTTACTTTTTTAATGTCCAGTAAACCGACGTATTTCAGTCACAAGAAGTTCGACATTTGGCAACAGAAATCCTATTTGGCACTGTTTCAATTTTGATGAGGAAAAGCCCACTAGAAAAGCAGTTTATCGATCAAAACTTAGCACATAAGGTCCAAAAACTACGTTTTGGTTGTTTTCTAGGCCGATCCATGATTTTCTCGAGACGGTAGAGAAGGCAATTTTTGGACGGTTTTGACCAAAAGATTGTTTTATTTTGGAGCGCACCACCAATGCAGGAGGGGGACCAAGTGAAAAATATCCTAGACCAAGTGATTTAAGCATAGTACATGCTAGCCTTACAGTTTGAATTTGCGGAGAATCTAAGGGAGAGATTGTTCACTTGGTCTATTAAGGGGAGATATTGTTCACATGGGCCCAAGAAGTGGCTTTTGACCAGTTTTTTGGACTTTCCGCTATTTGAACTTTGCTTTCATATTTGCCTAACTCGGTTTTGTTTTTCGAAAATTTTGATTATTTGAGTACGCGCTTATTTGTCGATTCAAGGCGTTCAATTTAACTATATACTTTCACCTTCTGAGGACTCAACTTCCTTTGCATAGAAAGGAAACTAAGTTCACAGCAGCATTGAATTTGCTCAGGCACATACGAATTTTCGGTGCATAGACATTTGTGTCCAAGACATTTGTGTCCTTGACAAAACAGTCCGAAATGATAAAATTGTACCAGACATTTATGTCCCAGACAAAATTGTCCGAAATTGTTTTGCGAAATTAATTTCTTTGATTTGACCTTGTGATCTTTAATGCTTTGTTCTTTTGAGGTTGTTTGATCGTTCTTTAAGTAGATTTTATGCGTACCAATTAACCATAGAACAGTCAAAGTGAGACAAAACTTTCAAGAAAATTTTGAAATTTAAAAGCGCATTTGGCCGAGTGATGAAGTCATGAGTCTCAAGGTCAAAAGGTTTGAAGTTCAAATCTCGGGCTCGACAAAAAATTTTCGTAATTTAGTCAATATTTGAAATTAAAAAACCCAAAAATGGGTAAACTAGGGCAAAGTTGAAATGGGTTGACTTGATTGAGCCAAAAGGGAAGAGGGTGGGAAAAGCTTGATTACATTGATCATTTTGCCGTTTTCAAATCGGGTCTAGCTCAATTTTGAAATTTTCTGGGAAAAAGTTCAACTTAGAAAAATTTATTGAAAATTATTGCTTCGCAATATCAATTTTGGAAAATAAATTGACTTTAAATTATAGTTTGATGTTGCTGCTGCACCCTTTTAGGAAACTCAGAAGTTTACTTTGGTCGTAGGCCGCAACCAATTCTGAAAGGTTTTTGTCAAGTTTGACATAAAGAGGTTTTTTATAACGTGACACTCTTTGCCCGGCACACATTTTTTCGATCAAGATTTCAGCGTTTTTCTGTTCGTCTTGAAATTTTTCTATGAGTTTGGGAAATAATGGGTGCTTGCCATTCACGAGTTTGACGAAGCTGCTATTCCAACCTTCAACAGCATTGTTGGTTCTGGGTCGCCCGGTTATTACACGTTGATGACAACTCCAGCTGTCAACGTCAAATCTAGGGTTTTGACGAGTTCCATTTGCCGCCGAGAGCCGACCAACGTAATTGTCCTCAAAGTAATTGAAGATTGGGTGGGCTGTCTCAGGGCATGTCTTCTGAAGAGTTTCGAAAGCAGTAGAAACATCACTTACAGGCAGGAAAGCGATACTCAGCAGCATTCGGACATGCTCTCGGAATTCCAGATCTAGTCTGTAGTTGCTTGTGTTTCCAGTAGTCTGAATGTGACGCCAGACGCTTTGGCTCAAATGGAAATAACAGTATTGAATTTGTACATTTTTGGATACTGAATTGAACGCATTTTTGACCGCTATTTCGAAATCAATGGTGGCTCGTTTAGGGAATTCAATGTCGAAGCAGCTCAAAAGTCGAAAATACGTTTCCTCTTTCTTGTCTGGAAGCAATGCATACACAATAGGAATCAGAATTCCCTCGACTGAAGCGTGGATGGTGTATATCTGAAAGAACACACTCGGGGCCGTAGAAAAGGTGCCATCGCAGAACCAATCATCAGCGCCACTGAGAATGTCGAGTCCCGGAAGAGTGGTGAAAACCATTATTCGCTTGGTATCATTAGGTCCAGAGTCAAAATGAAGGAAACGCTCGCCGCAGTGTGTCACTTTCAGCAACTCTGGCAGTTTAAAATCAGTTAGGGATTGGGGTTCCTGCATTCTGGGCCGTTTTTCCTGTTTGACTCTATTAATTGTCCTCTGGTTGGCAGAATAGCTCGGGATTACTGCTGCAGTCTCTCTGTTGATGTCTCTTTGTACGGAAAGTTGAACGTTTGACGGGGTGGCTCATCTGACACAACTGCTCTTGTTTTGAGAGCTGTCCTGAATTTTCGACGGGGTGGCTCATCTGACACAACTGCTCTTGTTTTGAGAGCTGTCCTGAATTTTCGTTTTTCAATATCGGCTGGATCGGGAAAATGACTGTGTTCATTTATGATAGTGACGTTATCTTGGAAAGTGCGCACACGGCCATTGCATTTCGATAAAACACATCGCCACGAAATTAAGGTGTCTGTTAGAATCCGATGTTTGAAGTATGCGTATGCATCATAAACTAGCATTTCGTTGTTTTTATTTGTCATGAGAATTTCCATTGTCAACACGAACTCGAGAGCAATAACAATGAAATTATGATCTCTCGTGTCTACGTTTAGCAACATTATCAATCAAGATATAATTGTGTAGGTATGTGTAAATGATTTGGGTCCTGTGTTAATTTCGTCTCTAATTTGCTACGCGAAGTAATTTCTGGTCTAAGTGCTCAGTTGCGTGGCCTTATCAATTTAATCCTTCCTACTGAGAGCTTATCAAATTAATCCGGTCATTAACTAGTGTGGCAATAGCCTGGACAATTTTGTCTGGGAACCAAATGTCTTGGACACTTTTTGCATTTTGGACTGTTTTTGCCGGGACATAAATGTCTGGGACACAAATGTCTTGACACGGAATTTTCACGAGTACGTTTTTTTACAATTACGAGGTTGAATACTAACTTAGTATGATGACTCAATACTTCATTTAATTTCGTCAGAATACACAAACTTAAAAAAACGATAATTTTCCGAGGTGAAAGAGAAAGATTCTCTTAATTTAACATGTAATCAACCGACCATGTTCCGTATCTGATGATCAAAATCAACGATGTTCGTCGTTGAATATAAAACTAAGAGATGTTCGTCGTAATATTGCCTTTCTCGTCACATACAAGACGTATTTAAAAATTCCTTAAAAAATTCAATTCTTTCGAGTCTCGTGAGTCAGAATAGTTACGCCAAATTAGTCCTTGAATGGTGTTCATTCGTTTATGCTATCAATGGAGTCAAGAAGATGAAAGGAGTTGTCTTAAGATAGTTTAGTTATAAGCATTAGCTCAAACATCGATAACAATGAAAGCAAACACTCATTCTTGCTGTCGTGATTTTTTGTTCGATGTGAACTTTTATACCTGCATATTTCGGTATTCCTAAAAAGCGGTAATTGATAATCGAAGTAGAAAAAGCGTTTAAACAAAACGCATAAAATCTTATCAATCATTTTGAATTGTCGAAAAAGTAAAATACTGAAAAGTTCCCTAACAGAATAAGAGTCAGAACTAAGTTCATCGACTCTTAAAAAGATGGAAAACCTTAAGATAGCGACCAGGCAGTTGAAAAAGTGTAGAAGAATAAGGCATCCAAAAAAAATCAACATTTTTCGACTTTCGAAGAAAAAATATATCTAGTAAAAGCCCTTTGAATTTCAACTGTTTATGATTGGCAATTCCACAGGAATTAAGCAAACTAAAGTCAATTTTCGAAACAAGGAGTCAATCAAGTTATTCGTGACTTTTACACTTTTGTAGTTCGATAGCGGAAAGAAATGATTTGAAGTTAAAACGAAACCAGAAGTCAAACTGGAAAAAAAAAATCGGTTTGAACGCGTGAACTAACTTTGAGACTGTTCCTGAAAAGTTCCTTTTCTTTTAAAAACTAAAATCAACACTCGAAATTGGATGTTACGTTTTTTCCGCCATTTTAGCTTTTATAACTGATGAGCGCGTTATTTGCCCTCCTTTCAGCAATTGAATTTGAATTGAGCTTGTCTCCACTTGAACTGTTTTTAATGTAGAGCATAGTTAGTAATCCATTTTAATCAAAATTGCCATCAATCAGCCAAAAGGAAACTTAAAACTTCGAAAATTGATTTTGAGAGCAAAATTTTCAGAATTTTGCTGAAACAAACCAAGCGACATAAATGCTTGAAAATTTACTTTTTTGATAAACACGTGAACACTCGAATACAATACACATTCTGAATACAATATACTTCGAAACAAAATTTTCGAAATTCATTTTCAAATTTCGGAATATTAAAGATAAGATTCAGGCCTACAAAATGTCTAAAATGACGAATAGTTATGTTTTTATTGATGTAGATTTTTAAATTTTATTATTTAGAACTTTCAGAAAAAAAAATATTGCTGCATCTTAACCGATCGCTATGACAAAAAACTACGTCCATAGGAATATTATTGGAATAAATTCAAAAACTGTATAGGAGACTCAAGATAGACATATAAAATTTTAAACGATATCAGTGGTAAAAGTAACAAAAACAGCAAGATTCCTCCATTGCAATCATGCATTGATGAAAACGATAATGCAACAGACAGAGATGTTGCTGATAAATTTAACTAAGGACCACCACAGTTGGAAAAGGACTTCAAAATGATGTTCCTAATGTTGGTAGGTTTAACGTTGAATATGTTCCATATTCCATGCTTCTGAAAAAAAACATGCGAAACAGAAGTTTTTAAAGTCCTAAATTACCTAGATAATAAAAGCTCGTCCGGTGATGATAACATCAGTAACCTTATTGTGAAAACTTCTGCGAAAGTCGTGGCACCAAATCTAAGCTTCTTAATCAACTTATCATTCACAAAAGGCGTGTTTCCTAAAGAACTTTGTAAAGCGAAAGTACTGCCGCTTCATAAAGATGGATCAAAACTTGATGAGAACAATTATAGACCAATTTCACTTTTAATTGTTTGGAGTAAAATCTATGAGCGCATTATGTATAACCGTATTTATTCTTATTTAGAGAATTTTTCTTTCTTTTATGCAAAACAATTTGGTTTTCGTAATAAGCATAGCACAATTGATGCACTTGCTGAACTTACCGAAAGAATTAGAATGTATCCTTCTTCGAATGAAATTTTTAGTTTTTCCTTGACTTGAAGAAAGCTTTTGACACTATTGACCATAATATCTTGCTATACAAATTGGATATGTATGGGTTTAGGGGCAACTGTTTAAAATGGTTGAGCTCATATCTCAGTAATCGCATACAGCGAGTTGTAGTAAATGGTGTTTCATCTAGCTGGAGTAAAATAGAATGTGGTGTACCACAAGGCTCAATTTTAGGTCCCTTGCTTTTTCTATTATATATAAATGACCTCCCTAAAGCATGCGAAACATCGGAAGTTTTGCTACTCGCAGACGATACGAATCTAACATCAATAGGTTGTCAAATAATTGACGTTCAAAAAGACATGACGTCTTTAAATAACTGGCTACATGCAAATAAATTGGTGATTAAACTATCCAAAACAGTTCAAATGAATGTAAAGTTAAGTGCTTCCAATCATTTATTTCAGTTAAACTCTTGCTCGATAAATACGAAACCTGTTTTTAAATATTTGGGCATTTACATAGACTCCAAATTTTCTTTTAAAAGTCATATCGATTTCGTCAAAAAGAAACTTAGTAAACAATGCGGTATAGTTTTAAAGCTACGGCACTACGTGCCGAGGTCTCAAATGATCGAATACTACAGTAGCAATGTCGTTCCCATTCTCCAGTATGGCATTTTAATTTATGGATGTTGCAGCTATTCGCAGCTGGAACAACTTAATGTTTTACAAAAGAAAATCCTCAAATTCATTTTTTTCAGAAAACGTCGAGATCGTAGTAATGATATTTTTGAAAAATATAGTTTGTTAACCGTTTATGAGTATCATCTCTATGAGCTATTAAAATTTGTTCTTAAATCAGTTATTGGTGTTCATAATGATAGCTTTCTGAATGATTTATTTGTTTTTCAAAATGCAAAAAGAGCTACTAGAAATTCTGATAGCAGCCATCTGTTCGAACCATTTTGTAAACGCAAAATTGAGCGCTTCTCGATTCGATATCGCGCTTGTAAACTTTTTAATAAGCTGCGGGTTCTGAATTTGATACCTGCACACGTCAAAAGTTGTTCTTTTTCAGAAATTTCGGCAATTTACCATTCTTTGAAAATATACCTGGTACAAAACCATGAATTAGTGAAACATATATTTGGCTTATAAAAAAAAATTTAAAACCCATACCCGTTGGTTGCATGCTACAGGACTACCAGCTATATATCAGCTTTTTTGTATAAAAAAATGACCTCCCAAATCCTTCTAGTTTTCGAGATATCGAGGTTTTTTGATTTTTTTTGGATTTTTCTCACTAATTTTTTTTCGAAAAACATAAAAAAATAAAAAAAAATTACATATAATTTTACAGCGCCCTGGAATTATTGTTGAGTTTAGTACTGTTAAGTTCAGTAGTTAGTTAATGTCAACATAAATTTATAAATATATATAAATTTTTTTTTTTTCACGAGCTGTAGCTTTTGTATTTAAATAAAAATATATTTGCTCGCATTGTTTAATTTGATTTGTTTCATTAGAGATGTTTCATTTGAATAGAAGGGTAGACTTTTAGTGGACCAACAGGTCCCGTAGTCTATCCGTTCCTGCTTTAAATGTGGCAAATTTAATTATGCTGATATATTGTTTATAAAAGGAAAAATATATTCTTTCTTTCTTTCTTTGAGAGAGGACATGACAATCAATATCACGAAGGGAATTACATGTCTGATAACCTAACCACTGCTCCACTCTGTCTTATCACTTGTTACCAGAGCTTGGACCTTATGTCATTAACCTGTCAAGACAATGCCATAAATCTGCTGATTTATGTTTATTCAAACTTGAGTATTTTTTTCCAATATTTTCTTTTTGCTTTCAGATTTATATATTTTTCTTTTTCTTTGAAGATCTCATATTTCGTATTTCATTTAAATAAAACGGGCAGTGAGAAAACCAATTGAGCTCGTTAACTGTCCCCTCACTGTTTCAGGTGCTTCATATTTAAATGCTCGTTGTATGCATATTTACCATTAACAATGAGAAATAAATTCTTTCTTTATTTCTTCTTAGTGGTAAAATGTTCAGTTTGCTCGTCATATCGTACCTTGGATACTCTGTCATGGTCGTGAGGCGACAATTCATAACAGGCGACAATTCGTAATCAGTGACAATTCGTAATAAGCGACGATTCGTAACCGTAGATAAAGCAGGAAACACTGATTCCTGCGCAATATTCCTCTCGTGCCGGATGTGAGCGCAGCCAATGCCTTGTTACGAGTTGTCGCCTGTTACGAATTGTCGCCCTACATGTCATAGCATGGATAGTGTGTGGGAGTGAGTCTCGCCTGAACTCTGGCTGCAAGTCTACCAGAGCCTGGCTAATTTCGGCTCCAATAACATAACCGCGTCAAAATTCTAGACCCAAAAATTATTAAGCTGAACAAAATCAACCTGGTTGTGGCGAAATGATAGAAATTGACAGCTTTAAAAGCCTTTGATAGATTCTCCGCGAGAGCCACAAAAAATCCAACGAAACAAAAAAACCGATTATTATAATTAAGTTAACTTACTTCCTGTGTTTTCGAACAGCACTTTATCATTTAAACCGAGCCTTAGCTCGGGCATGCCACTGAGAAACACGCGCATCCTGATTGCACCAACTATTTCACTTCTCAGAACAGTCCCAGACGCATTCACCTAGAAACAACCATTTTCACGCGATCAGATTGGATACAAAACTTTCAGTGGTTCAAAACTTAACTGATCTGAAGACTTTCCTTTCAACTAATTTTTGCAATTATATATTATGACATACGAAAATTTTTTATTTCAGCCAACTTTGCATCAAAAAAACGCTGAAAAAAAACATGAAATTACCAGTAGGTTGACGGATTCAATGACATCCAAGAATACTTCATTCTTTCTGTATTTGACTCCTTCTAGACGCCACGACACTGCATTGGTGACTGCTGGTGGTGGTCTGGGGGCCAGGTCCAACTTCTGGCCCTCCTGTGTGATGTACTCTTGCAGAATCTTGGAGTCTGTGAACTGTGGATACCCGAAGTCCACTATTTCGTCCAGCAATTCATACACAACCACGAAGTTATCTCGAACACTTTCCTCTTCCAGTTCTTTAAAGTATTCTTGGAACACCTGAATTAAACTAGTTTCCAATATATCATTGATTATTAACTTAAGCTTCATTCAGGCTATCACATCTTCCTTACCCGAACTAGTTTGTGGAGGAATGCAAAGACAAGCGATGCGTTTGGATTGTTTTTGCCAACAGCGACAACTGAAACAAAACAATCTTATAGAAGAACAAGTACCACAAAAACTTCGCAAGAGACAGAAAACCCCGTGATGGATGTAAATGGCTTTAGTTTTCTTTGTAAAATTAATACAGAAAAAAAAACAAGGATAGCCGGTTACTGAGGAAGTAGCACAGAATGTTCCGACCATTGTCTTGTAGCACAGAATGTTCCGAACGCAAACGTAGCCAACTGACAATTGGAAAAGAGTAATGAACGCAAGGAAACCGAAAAATAAACTGACTTAACCTTCGAAACTTAAAAAAAACTGACTTAACCTTCAACTTTTCAATTTCGAAAAAAAGGTTAAAAAGCTTTATGAATTTGCAGAACAATTTGTGACTGACACTTTTTTTGATAAAAATTAACCCAATTTGACAAAACTGGATCAAAAAGTAAAAATATTGTTTCTCCGGGAAATATGATAATTACTTTTCCTTTTTCGAATATAAGCGTCGATCACGTTTTTGTGACCTTTTTTGCAGTTGGACAGATAAGATAAGATTCTTATCTACATTTTTGCAGTTCGACAGTGGAGTTTGCCTTCCTTTTAACAAAAGAAAAGGGTGAACTGAAAAATAAATCAAAACTAAAACCGCGAAAAATCTTAACTAAGCGTGAACAACATCTACAATTTTTAGAGCATTTTTAAGACATTTTCCTTTTTAAAAAAAAACATAAAAATCACCGTCCTAAACAAGAGTACTTACTGTAATCATTACTCTTAGGAAAAGGCTTTTCTAAAACTAAGGCATACTCCACAGTCATAGTAAAAAAGGCAAAATGGAAAACAATTTTCGCAGAAAAAAGAACACAAAGACGAAAAAAAATCATTAAAAAATTTTTAAAAGTTTAAAACTTTTTGAATTTTGAAAAAAAATTTCGAAATTTATTGATTCTCAAATTTGCGCAAACAAACTTCAATCGATTAAAATTAAGTTTTCACGGCTTAAATTAAGCAAAATAAACTATTTTGGCTGCTCGCTCGACATGAGACCGAAAATCAGAAAATGAAACGGTTTCTCTCGATATAAAGAAAAAAATTAAGTCGTTCGAATCACGGCTGAAAAGGCTTTAGTATGATATATCACTCGACACTAAATATACCACTAGACAATTATTTGTTTATTTTTTTTATAGGTTTTCTTTTTTTAATTCAACTTTTGTGTGGAAAAATCTCCTACCACAAAAAGAAGAATTAAGCAATAAAATTTGGATGAGTATCTTACACTGAAGAGTTGAGAATTTCAATTTCTGTTAGGTTTTTATAACTAAGTTATTTGAAAATTTTTTAAATCATAAAAACGTCAAATCTTGAAAACTAAAAAAATTTGAGCAGTCAAATTTTGAGGTAAGAATACCTGACAGCTCCCAATTACAGTTAATTATTTGAACTTTTCTCAAATTTTAATATATAATTTTTTTGACAAAATCATAAAAAAGCCATATCTCGGAAACTGAAAAGATTTGAGCAGTCATAATTTCAGCCCTGCTGAGCAGTCAAAACTTGCAACGCCTAAGAAACCATGACAGCACCTCACAGTATAGAATTGAGATCAAAACTCTATACTTGTTCTTTGAAAATTTTTGAAATCATTTTAAAAAATTCCTATCTCGCAAACTAAGAGAATTTGAGCAGTCAGATTTTGAGGCAAGATTTGCAACCCCTGAGAGTACCCTGACAGCACCCAATTACAGAGTTGATAATTTCAATTTTTGTAGAATTTTTAAATCCACGTTTAATAAAAAAAAAAACCACAAAAAGCTTCGTATCTCGTAAACTAGAAATATTTTGGCACTCATACTTGGAGGCCTAATTTGCAACCACTAAGGTAATCCTGACAGCATCCCACAATTGGGTTGCTAATTTCAATCTTGGCGAAAAAAACTGAATTCAATCTGGAAAATCGAAAAAAATTCATGAGTATTGCAACATAGGATAGTTTAAACGTGCGAAAATCATTTCGTAAACTTGCAAAAATAATACCTTGCAAAAACTAGAACATGGTGAGATAGTGAAGCCCGCATTTCAATATAAAATAGATAGATAATAGATAATAGACAGAGGTGAAGCTGAGCTTCGCACCACTTGCTATACAAATTTATATAAAATCAAAGGGAAAAATTAAAAAAAATTCAATAAATCGTTTTGTCAATAAAAAAGTGATCTCAAGCAGTAATGTCACCTCAAAACCAGATTCGTCCTACGGCTGACTGAAATTGAATATATAATTTCCATGCAGTAACAAAACCGAAAATACCCGAGCAGAAACCTCTCATGACAAAAAAAATTCGAAAAAGTTCCGAATGAAAAAAATTATGCCCCTTTTCACCTCACGCATGCACACTAACTATTTTTGATCTCGAACGACGCAATAAGAGGCCACTAGGACGATATAAATTAAGCCGAAACTTTTACACCCGATGAAGAATACAAAAAAAAACGAAATTTTGACAAATTAAAATGGTAAAATTACAAGCATATTAAAAACAAATTTCGATTCAGCCGGATTTTTAAATGCCCAAACCCTTTAAGCAACTACAGTGAAAATTGTTTGCAGCAAAAAAAACGATTCTTAGATCCGGCAACTATACCGACAAAACATAAGAAGACAAATGATAGGCCGAATTTTTTTGAACCCAAGTTACGTCGAGTCCAGATGAGTCTTGTCGACAAAGTTGTGTGCCGGAAAAAAGTCTAGTACCCGATTGCAATACCCCTGCTTACCGTAAGGGTAAAAAAATAAAGTAGAAATAATCATGGAAATAGTAAAAACGATAGCGACCAAGATATTACGGGTCTCACGCACTAACCACTGAGTCGCGGGCGCTTAAAAAGGCTATGAAATTTCCAAAGTTACAGATCGTGATTATATCAAAAAGGCCACCAAAAGAATTAACACTTTTGTTTGCCAATTAGATAAGAAAAAAAAGAAGATTCGTAATAATACGGTTTCAAAATGGGCGCCGTTTGCTTGTTGCAGGCTGTTTACGTTAGAACAATTGGCTGCCGAACGCCAGCAACTGTAATAATATTTCATGAAGTACCTACGCTATACTGCGCACCTAACCAAAAACACAAAACTCACGGTAAAGATTGCTGTGTTTGATGTACATGTAGGTGATGTCTTCCAGTTTCAAAATAGGAGATACGCTGCCTTCGTCTTCTTTCTCAAGAACAACGTGCATGAATTTATCAATACAGTTTGATGGAATATCACCTTTGTAGTCCCTTGACATCAACGGCTAAATAGATCAATTACGTAGCATGTGATATCGAACCATGATAAGGTGGAAAAGCTGATAAATTGGAAGTTTTATTGTGCAAATTATAGATGGTCGTTTTATTCTATATAAAAACTAGTATGATTTCCATATAATTGAACAAGAGTAATTGATTTTGTTAGCTTACCTGACCGAGTCTTATTTTCAAAAACAATAGGCACAAAGTTTCAAATACCTCTAGCTTTTAGGACTTGATGATTTGATGAACTAATACAATTAACAATACCTTTCCTTTGACGTCGAGGATAAACAGAGCAGAAAAAGACATCGAAATCTGAAACCAGTGTAATATAAACCAATGTAATTTTTCTTGTTAAAATAAATCGTCACTGAATAAATTATCAATTTTACTCACTAAATGAGTTGGTAATAATCATATTTTTAACCTTATAAAAAGGGTCAATTCAAATGGGCCCTTCCGTAAAGCGACGGGCCGTGCACAGGATGGATAGTGACATACCAATGCTATAAAAATGAAGTTCAATCTGACAAAATGTCATACACTCACCCTAACGGGAAGAACGAAACAATCTGAACGGAACTTTACCTTAAATGGCGGAAAACAACTAAGCAAAGTTGAATCAGATAAAGATCTGGGAGTTATCGTTGATTCAATATTACAATACCGTGAGCACATTGCCAAAAAGACGAAAGTGGCAAACAGTATAGTCGCGATAATCAGGAAAAGCTTCGTGAACCTGACCTCTGAAATTCTAACGACCCTGTACAAAGCCTTAGCAAGAACACATCTGGAGTATTGAATTTGCGAACTTGAATTTGCGAACTTAATCTGGCACCCAAGACTAATCAAGCATCAAAAGATCTTAGAAAACGTACAAAGAAAAGCGACGCGTCTAGTTAGCGGTATGAAAAATCTATCCTATTACGAAAGCCTTAAAGAACTGAATCTATCATCGCTGGAATACAGAAGGAAAAGAGGGACAATGATAGAAATGTATAGTATCTGCTATGGTTTGTATGATAGGAATTCCACTGCGGGACTATTCGAGCGGAATGATAGGGATTCTAGAGGTAACGCATGTAAAGTAGTAGTACGTAAAGCAAATCTAGAAATGCGAAAAAATTTCTTCACGATTAGAGCACCTCTCGACTAGAACAATCTGCCACAGGAAACAGTGCAAAGCAAGACCATCGACGAATTCAAGTGGAAACTGGACAAACATTGGAAAGCGATTGGAATTGACATGTACGAATTCGAACGGAGATAGGAAAAAAAACATTTGTAATGACCACAAGAGGCACTGCCTAATGGTCATAAAAACTTGACTTGACTTGACTTGACTTGGAGTATCCATATCAGGCATGGAATCCATGCCGTAAAGAAGACAAAATTACGATTGAGAATGTTCAGCGACGCGCAACGAAAATTATTCCAGGTATACGCAAATACAGCTACGCGAAACGACTTCAGATTTTGAAACTCGCCTATAACCATTGGCTCAAGAGTCAGGGACACTATCTCTTGTGTTTTTCTACCTCGAACGGTCGGAGCCAATTCGTTTCACTTGCGACATGAGACCAAAACCCTCAATACAGCTTAAAGGCCACTACCAAAATACCTCCCCCCACTCTAGAAAATAAGAACGTCTTCATACTTAGGTCGCAAAAAACCCAAAATACGCGAACGCCGTTAAAAACAGGGTCGGAACAGTCCGTATAGTTAATTTTTATTAGACAGTGGAACTTTGATCCATTTCAGATGGATCAACCTAGAACTCTCCTTATCTCAACATAACAATTATAAAACACACTCAAGAAAACTAAATTGGGTACTCACTACTCACATACCAGCACACTCGAGAATTGGAGTAACTAAATTAACTAGCGACTCAAGCATAAATTTAATAACTTGAGAAGTTTCCAATTAATAAATTCCAGCAAAGGAAGTGAGTTTTCACTTGAGAAATAAAGTTCTGGGTTGGACCATTGGGAGACTTCGGTTGTCCACCTTTTGCACCGAAGGTTCACTCTGGTCCACTTCGAATCAATGTAATCGTTCTGTCTCCTATTTCAGGATAGGACAGCTCTACTCTCGTGTGATTTTTATATCTAGAAATTTTGAATAGCAGTTTCCCGCTACTTTTCTCGACTACTTTCCCGCGATTGTAATTCGGGTGTTCTGATCTTGCATTTCTGAGGTTTTCAGTTGTCGCGTGAAAGTTGAACATAACAGGCTCAATTCGAATTTTTGAAAAATTACATTTCACCCCAAAATTACGTTGTTCGTATTGCTCAAGGTCAAACTTCCAAATATGACCGACTGGCACAATCAACGAAAAAGACACAAGAAATAAACCCTTTCAAGATTATAACCAAGAGGACCAGAACTTCTTGTGGACAAAATTCCTTTACAGTTGCAGCCATCAAATACAGTTGCAGACAGTTTTCAAATGAAGACAAGACAAACTATGGACGTCTGAAATATATGACGCATCGTTTATGGAATGACGAAATGGTTGTCCAAGAAAGAGCTGGTCGACAGAGGCCTGGGAGGCCTACAGATCAGAAGTTAACATGTGAACCTGTGATAAAAACATCGGTAAAATGTTGTGAATAAGTCAAACCGATTTTAAAGCATCAAGAGAATTGTCAATCAAAATCGACCATCCTCGATTAAAGCACTGATGAAATTGTATTGCCTATGTTTCATGTGTTTTCAAGTTTTTTGCAATCCATGAGGCAGTGTAACATTCGCCCAAATACTACATAGTGACGTAGCGTAGAAAAAGTACCTAAAGATGACTGGCTGGCGTCAGCTACCCTAGTTCTACTCGTTTTTCATCGTCTAGACCTAGCCAGTTAATTTTCTGGTCTGTTTAGGGCTAAGTAAAACGTAACCGTTTTTAGGCCATCAGTCAAACGACTTTTAATCAGCTTACGTTTACCTGCAAAGATAACCACATAGCTGGGTCTCGAATCCCCAGACTACATGATTAACATTAAAACACGGCTTGAATATCCTATTTTACTATGTTTTTGGTGACCGTTCTATATTAAATTCATTGGAGATCGATTGACCCGTTCGTCTTCCTAGCTACTCATATTCTAAAATATCAAACTATACCGGTCTTAATTCAAATTTTTACGACATTAGAGTAGCTAAAAAGTCAGTTTATTACAGTCCTTCACAATATGATGGCTCTGCGGGGCCGAGCCTCCGCTTCCTTGCTCTATTTGCAATAGCGTCGCTATTCCACTAACTTCGTGGGACGGGAGGGTACTGCATCTTCCGTCTGCCCCACCGAAACCTCCTTTCCGTCAATTGACTCCAATTAGTTGTCTTATCGTGCGCGAACGTCACGATCAGAGGCTTCGTCTTTTTATTCAATCGTTTCGACTGTCTTTCACTCGTTAATTTGGTTGTTGTTGTGTTTTTTGTCACTTTTTAGCCAAAAATGGTCACTTCCCGCATTCCTCATAATTGTTCCGTCAACAATCGAAATTTCGAAAATTGAAAATTCCAGTTCATTCTAGCCTCTTTTTCAACAATACGTTATCACTAAGTCCTCTAATGTCTTTTTCATGCCGCGACGGAAGGTTCCGGGGGAATGGCACACAGAGGACTTATTTGGGTTCTTAAAAACATGCAATTCAATACCGTAAAAAAATGGTATTGGTATTGATCAATACCAGGTTCCTGGTATTGGTATTGATCAAAACCAGGTTCTTGGTATTCTGAACAGGGCATTCAATACCTTGAAGAATTGGTATTGGTGTTGACAGAATCCGGTATTGGTATTGATCAAAATCAGGTTCTTGGTGCTCTGACTTACATCAGATCACTTTAAAATCACAAAAATTATTGTAGGATCAATTTTTCAAGGGGATTTGACTGAGATAAAAAAGAGATAATTGCAGAAGAAACTCTTAAGCTAATATGTAGAAAAACATAAAAAATTTCAGAAAACCAAATTTCAGAATATATGTAGAAATTCAGCGTTCTTTGTGATGAAAACATTGTGAGCATGATGCTCAGCAGTCATTCTGTTTTGCCAGTAGTTTTTGATTTCCTGCATAGCAAAAACGAACCCTCAGGTTCTACGCTCGCTGGTTGACTTCCAATGTTGTAGTTTTGTTTACTCGATATTCCACTAACAGTTCAGTTACAGCAGTATCTTTGCGAGTTGTCATTTCGTGAATTGGTATTGAAATCCCTGGTATATTTTACCTTTACTAAAAATTATTTTGTTTTGTTACAGAGTAACAAAACTATCTAACAAAAACGAAAAAAAAAGGAAAATTATATCAAAGTTTTTGCAAAAGTTTTGAGGTATTGTAACAAAGTATAGAGGTATTGACTGGGTTTGGTATTGGTATTGGCATTGATGATTCGATTATGTATTAGTATTGGGGCCTTGGTATTGGTTTTGTGGTATTGGCATTGGTATTGAATTCCCTGCGTAAAAGTTTTTTGTGTCAGAGTATGATTCGTTCCTTTTTTCGCTTGATTTCTCTGCTAGTTTCTGGACGGTTTTTGTAGAGCCTGTTGCTGCTTGTCCCCACCACGTAAAAATTTGTGGAACAAAGCTGCTGTTCCTCATCCAGAATTCTTTTTTTTGTATTTTAATGTTTTGACACTCTCATGATATTTGTAGGCGCCAGATATAGTTTAAGGGCAGGATTTAGAATCGCGGTTGAAAATATTTAAATCGAAAAAGGTTCGTCTGAATCGGCCTCCCAAGCGTCTATTATCCTTGATGTCAAGTCGAGCGTCATCATCAGTAGTCGTTATTTTCTTGTGAAAACTCTCGCTTTCCAACGATTGAAGTTTCAGCTATATTTCAACATCATAGGATATTCGTCCAGGGGTGTAGCAAAGGGTATCAAAAACTTTTTTGTTTCAGGTGAGTGTATCTTCTTTTGGGGGAAAGTAGAGAGGGGGTCAGTTTGAATGATTGTCCATATGGGCATGTATCCGGAAAGTTTGGTGGTTTCCGTCCATATCTCAGATATAAACCATCTTTGATTCCCGATTTGTTGAGGAAAAAATTGTTCTTTCTTAAGGTTAGCTCGCTAAGACAGTTCGATGCTCCTTTCTGTAATGCTAGATTTAATGTAAGCTTTTTCTGAAGAGCACTTTTCCATAACACTTGCTTTTTTGAGAGTGTGCTTTTCTTTTTCTCAGGTATGATGTTTCTATTCATCAGAGTTTGTTCCTATTCAGCTATTTCTGGATCACTGTTTTCTAACAAATCACAAATGAGTTTTTGTTAGGGTAGTTGTTTTTTACGCTTTCCTTGTTTTTTCGCTTTCTA